AGTCATGCTACAGCTACATGGGTTGTTTAGTTCGACCGGGAAAGGACCACTTTCTCACAGAATACCAGGGTTAAATAGTAGCTCAACGCTGCTGTGTTTCTTATGGTGAATGTAGAGAAACCGGAGACTCATTTTCCTGGAAACGAAGCATTCCATCTTAGTCCTCAGATATGACAACGCATCTGCATTTTGATCCGTAATCGAGGATAGATGTAGATGTCTATGGGCCACAGCAACCACTTACCATCAGGTGAACTGTGTGCTTGTTTGTACTCTTATCCTATAAAAAATGTATGGGTCTGTTTAATAGGGGAAGGATAACATTCTCACAGTTAAATAGCGTAAATGAGCAACTAAATGTTGTGTTTCTTATGGTGAGTGTAGAGAACCGGATCCTCTTTTTACTGGAAATGTAGCATTACACCTAAGTCTTCAGTGTGACAACGGATCTGTATTCTTATTATCAATCGAGTATAGATGAAGATATCAATTGGCCGCAGTATCTACTTACCATCAGATGGACTGTGTGTTTGTCACCCTTATTTTATAAAAAGGTGCCTTCAAATTCGTATAGACTACAAAGTGATATCGCGTTGATGCTTTTTAGTCTAGAGTTTTGGTTAAGAAAAGCCGTTATGTAATACGTTTTAATGTTAGCCTACGCAACTGTGATCGAGTATAATATAACTCACAGCGGCTTGTAACTTAAAAATATGACTTCTGTCCTTGACACTACCTAAAATATTTAAAAAATATAACGGAATAGCGCATTCCGTTTTAAATATACCGTAAAAAATATTACGTAACAGAGAGAACTTCACTCTATTTATGAACTTTTTTATGATAGGAATCGTTGCTGCTCAACCCTGCAGTAATTGCGTGACCTTGACAAAATTGATTAACGGTGTACATACAGCGTTAATTGTAACGCGATTATATTTGATTCAGATTTGATAAAGGTACCCGGGTAAATAAACACATGTGAAATACAAAGACGAGTGCTGAATAGGTAGGTACAAAGAGGTTGAGCTAAATATCACATTGTAACCCTTTATTTTTAAGGAGAAAAGAAAATATTGATCTAAATGTGGGTTAAACATTTTTTGAATTCATATTGTTTTGTATTATAACATAATTTATGATGATACCAGCAAATTGAAACCCTAAGCAGTGCTTGTTGTTCTCGGCAATTGCTCAGTCAAATTATATAACAAATTAAATATCTAAAGTAATTAAATTTTGATTTAACTTTTTTTCTTTTCGAATATTAACAAAGAAAATATGTCAAATGTACGTAAAAAACTATGTGAATTATATAACGGTAGTCAATCGCGTCTAATTACACAATTATTAGATATAGGTAATCTTATTTAACATCACGCATATGAAAGTTTTAAAGTTTGAGAAAGCATAAGATATAATATGTGGTAACCATAGCAACATTCACGCGCATGCAATCAAATCGCGGTCAGCGCAACTTTTGCCCGCGCAATTAATTTTAATAACAAAATTAAGATTAGGCAAGTCGGTTCGTCCACGGAGGCATACTGGATGCCCTGAACGTGCTCTGTGGCGTATTTGCAATCAGTCGCGCTTGTGTAATAACACCATTCTGTCCGAATCTCTATGCTGGTGGTGGCATATTCAAGAGGTCGCTCTTGAATATGCCACAAACTTAATTATAACACAACGTTGTATTCGTTGAAGGTTAAAACTTAAAATTCGATCTCAATCTTGATAGCAATACAGAATTGTCTGGTAAATTTATAACAAATTGATTCAACATAAACGCAATCAATCTAATAATATACACATATCAAATAAGAATTATAACTTAGACATTACGTGAGCGGCCGCAATCAAGGTAGAGGATGTAATTTTTGTCGGTTTCAAAAGAACGGCATAATTGTGAACACATTAAAGTGTAAAAATTATGTACGAAAATTATGTTCCAGTGGTCTAATAGTAGTAGCTAGGCCGTTTACAAAATTAATAAAAAACTACTTTCGATTTGATGATCCGAAAAACTTCGTGGATATTTGGGGTCAAAACACAAAAAAGTCGATATATCAGATCTTTTAAATGTTATTATTAATTTAAAGTCATTAATAATTTAAACTTTAGCCGTGGTAGCTCAGATCGTACCGCTCGCTGAACGCGAGCAACACGGGTTCAATCCCCGCCGACAACAACGAAATTGTTAATTGTAATTGTAAGTGCTGATTACCACGTGCTCGGCGGTGAAGGAAAACATCGTGAGGAAACCTGCATGTCTGAGAAGTAAGAAAAAAATATTTTGTAGACATATTATGAAGTTCGCCAACACGCATTGGGGCACCGCGGCGGAGACTTCCTAGCCCTAAAACCCTTTAAGAAATGAGAGAAGACCTGTACCCAGCAGTGGGACATATATAGGCTGTATTTTTAAATTTAACTTTAACTTCAATTTTTGGATACATATGGATTACCAAGAATAGTTTCTTACTCGAGCTTACAAGTAGTAAGAGTTTTATCCCTCATTTAAAAAAAACATTTTCACTTCAATTTGTGTTTATAAAGGTGATATGTATGTGAAATCCGAAAATAATTTAAATTTCACAAATCAAAGTAAATAAAATATATAGCACAACATCCGAATCAAATTAGCGCCAGTGCTCAATTTACCTGTTTCCCTAGTTAGGGCGATAACCTCTTTGTAATTGTAATGTTTGTTTGTGTTCTCTTAAGTGTCTGCTGTATTTATTTCTTTGTCGGTATTTTTTTCAATAATAATAGTGTGGGTGTTGTTAAAGGTTCCGGGTATATTGGAAATATGTCAACAAAATCATGCTGGCAAAGATCTATACACTCACCGGCACGGAAACTTGGCCACTCGTGAATTTGCTGATTATTTGCACTGAAACGTTTTTTTAACAGTAAATTAAGGGTAGATGCATTCAATAAGTGTCTCTAATGGTTTTAGAACATAGAAATTTAATGTTTACTTCACCGAAATTTTTCTTTTCAAGATAACATGTTTTCACTAAAATTAACATCTTTCCATTGTCACTTTAAAAACACTACAAAGTTAAAAATTAAGTCTGTTTCTTTATTGTCTATCAGTTTTAATATCGGGTGTTTCCTCCTCTAGCCCTGATAACCGCTTGCATTCGATCTGGCATGCTTTGAATGATGTTTCTGACATCAACTTGCGGTATGCTGTCCCAAGCGGCCAGCGCTGCATTTCGGAGCTCATTTAGAGTTTGTGGCGGTTTGGAGCTGGACTTTATCTTTCTTTTGAGCATACCCCATACATGCTCAATTGGATTTAAGTCCGGGCTACGAGCTGGCCACTGTAATTTTTGTATTCCAACCTCTTCCAGATATTCCTCTACACAATGTGCGACGTGCGGGCGTGCATTATCGTGCATGAGGAGGAATTGGTCGTGTCCAATGAATCCCGAATAAGGCATTACGTGCTCCTGAAGAACTTCCTCGATGTATCGAGTAGCTGTAAGCCGATTATCGACGATGACCAACTCTGTACGTGCGTCGGAACTTACACCTCCCCATACCATTATTGAGCCTCCATGGAAACTCACAGTTTGGGTGGTGGTAATGGGTAGAAACCTCTCTCCTTTTTTCTCCACACTCGTTCTCGACCGTCTGGAGCACATAAAGCTATTCGACACTCATCTGTGAACAACACTCTAGCCCATTGGTCGTGGGTCCAATTGACATGTTCTCTTGCGAATTGAAGTCGGGCTACTCGGTGCTGTCTGAAAAGTTCTGGACCTCGTGCTGGTCTACGAGCTTTTAAATTCACTTCCTCCATTCGTCTTCTCACCGTACGCTCACTAACATTAACGCCTCTTGCGATTTGGAGCCGCTGGCGTATCTCAACAGCGGTCAGGTAGCGGTTTCTCAAAATCTCCATAACAATAAAACGATCGTCCCGGGCCGATGAGCACCTTACGCCCCCACTGCCTGGCCTGCGGGTGTAGCGGCCTGTCTCCTGGTATCGTTTCAGTGAATACTGCATTGAGGACCGTGGTACGTTAAGCACAATAGCAACTTCACGCTGTGTCAGCCCTTGGTCAATTAATGCTACTGCTTGTGCAACTTGTGCTGGTGTTAATGGCATTTTTATTGGCTTTAAAGCACCTTTAGTTATTTAAGACACAAGATCACAATAATTAAATAACCTTACAGTAAACTTTTCACAACACACAAATTTAAAATGTGAACTTAGTCGCTCAAATGACCCGATTCAACTAAAAATTAAAGAATTCGTCATGGTGCACTTAAACATAATGAATTACCCTCTTGAACTTGAGGGTAAACATTTTTTGACATACTTGCATAACAAACATTCATCAGAAACACTTAAAGCTTTTGCTATCGCGAGATAACCGCTTGGCCAAGTTTCCGTGCCGGTGAGAGGTAATACCAACTCTTTGTAAAGAACGTCGCAAGCCTATCGATTTGAATGTTATATTGTCAGTAGGTTTCCATATTATCGAAAGTAATGAGGAAATGAGATCGTTATGTTTTGCAAACAAAATGTAAACTCAGTTGTTATGATATAACGAGCGGATTGCAACAGCTGAGTCTGAAAACACTGACATATTTTCGTTTTATCGTGCGTACACTACCACTTTCACTGGCTATGACAAAAAACAATGATTTATTGCATGTTTTATGAGATGTAAACATCATTATTCATTCGATATGAATTTTTCATTTTCTACCATAGTTTTGCGACTAAATTGAATCAAAATTGTTTTGTTTTAGCAGCAAACTATGCATAATGAAGATCACGTATACTTAATGCATAGTAACTACGAAACACAGTTTCGCAATTTTACTACGGGAAGCTATTTTGATAGCAATCATGTGGTAATGAGATATAAGTGGAACAGTCACGCGAAAAAAGTTACGGACAGTTACCTTATTATTTAAGGCTCTTGTTTGTGGTTTACGTATAATAAATCTTTAATATATATTTATATTTGTTTAAGATGCGACGGGTCGCAGAGTTCAAGCGCGATAATGCAAGTCTTCTTGACGGGTTGCTGCCCGAACATGAAAAAGTAGCATTCCTGGAACACAAAGTAGTTAACGTAATGAAAGGGCGCGATCATAAGGGAAGGCGGTTGCTGATTGTTAATGTTGGAGGTAATGTGACCAATGCAAATACACGTATTTTTTGCTTACACTTACGTATAAAATTTATGAAATTAGTTTAAACAAAATATTAGTGAGGAGTACATAATAAAAATATATTGTTACCGTTTCAGCCTATAGTCGACTGCTGAACACAGACCTTTCCCATTGATTACCTCATAGGGGGGTAAGAGCTAGGGTTTTTGCCTTTTTTTTTTGAACAAATATAGTATTTTTCTCAAAAAAGATGCAAAATGTAGTACTTTTGAGAAATTCAAGCGAAAAAAGTACTCATTTATTTTTAATCTTTATGTATTTTTCCATATATATATGTTACTGCTCATTGCTTTGGCCATCAATGATTTTCTGCCTTTAAAACGACTATAGGAGTCTGAGCAATTTAAATTCATATTGAAATAAATTAATAATGAATTTTTCATTAATACATGCTCCATATCTTTTTTCTCTCAATTTTACATTCATGAAGGAAAACATTCCTTCCGTAAAACTTGTTCCAGACTTCCAATCACAGTTGATATAAAAAAGCATGACAGTTGAAGTAGGGATAAAATATAGTACTTTTCGTCCTTTATTATTTTTAGTACACATGACTGAAATACTTATACTAGGGCCGTGGTAGCTCAGATGGTTAACGCTCGCTGTAAATATAACAGAACGCGAGTAACCAGGGTTCGATCCCCGCCGGCACCAATGAAATTGTTAATTGCAATTTTCAGTGCTGATTTACCACGTGCTCGGCGGTGAAGGAAAACATCGTGAGGAAACCTGCATGTCTGAAGAATAAAAAAGAAAAAGGAATAATTCGAAGACATGTGAAGTCCACCAACACGCATTGGGGCAGCGCGGCGGACACTTCCTTGCCCTAAAAACTCTCTCAGAAATGAGAGGAGGCCTGTGCCCAGCTGTGGGACGTTTATAGGCTGTAACTTTTACTTTATACTATATATTATAGTACAGATGGCAACCGTAGGACCATAGTTATCACGCTAGGCAACCGAGTACTGCTGGTTCTTTACTTTTTACTTTTTGTAATAAAGACGCTACTGCCCATCTCCTGGATTATTTCCCTCCGTCGTCTCTTACGACACTCGCTGAGCGATGTAAGGGGTATGTTCCGAAATACAACCCAGTATACTGGCAAATGCAAATGACGTCATGAATCGACGCTATACTGGTTATTCGTTCCAAAACATGGGACAGTATAATATGACGTCATACATTTACGCCATATTGGAAAAGTGTTGGCGATTATTTTGTCATTTTGTGCTCCAAAAATCATTATATCTTCCTAATGGAAATACCAGCAATTATACTATAATTTTTTTGTATTCGAATAATAAAAACAAATTCTGGCATGCTTCATTCAGCGCACACACAATTAAAAATTGTTTTATTGTGGCCGGATATCCGACGCAATATGGCGGCGGCACGCCAGTACAGTATAGTGTCAATTGATGATGTCATTTGCATTTGCCAGTGTACTGGGTTGTATTTCAGAACATACCCAAGATGTAGTGGACAGAATATGATATTCTGACACCACCACTACACGGTTAGAAAACTTACAATAGCATCTAATAAGAATCCCCTCGAGGTATCCTAACTTAAGATGAAATTCGTTTTAATTTGATTCATTGTGGTGATCATCCTTTTTTCTCATAATTGAATTTAACAATTTTATAATCTTAATTGAATTTGGTATTTTTTTGTTTTTCCTTTTGCCTGCAAAAACAATCCAAGAATCCATGAAATGAGAAACTTTTACCATTCACTTCTGCAACATATATTTGCTTTGTCAGTCTTAAGTTAAGTTCTCATATAAGTTTAAATTTAATTTGATAAAAGTAATTAAAGTAAGAAACACAATAACTTTAAGAAATTGGAATTTATTTGATCCGTTAGTTGTTATATGCGCTAAACAGATACCGTTGCTATATGTTACTAACGATATGTAGCTAAAATCAAATTAAAATATATAATTTTGTGTGTGATAAATTTTGGTTAATAATGTTAACGTGCACTATTGTTTTTGTTAATTTTATATTTGCGTTGTTAAAATAACGGTAATGACTATGTTTAAGTACCAGTCGAAGTAAATGATTTGTCTCACGCATTTGGTTAATGGGCATTGTATTACTCATTGCAATACTTAAGTGCATTGGATAACGGCCACTTATGTTTAAAACAGCTTAAGTTATTTGTAAATATTACAACTAAGACTCGGATTAAATTCATCCAATTTTAATAAACAAAACAAATGCTTTTTTAAGCTTTTCAGTAATAATAACGATTATCTTTTTAAATGAAAACATTATACCTTACGTAATATTATGTCATTTATCATTAATTCATTACCGTTTCTGCCTTCAAAGCTTTTTTAGCGTGCCGCTGTCAAGAACCATGAACCAATAGCTTGGGATGGTGGCCTATTACTTGGCGTAGAATTTTATCATATAAAATATACATTTATAGCTAACGTTTTCTTTAAAACTTTGTTTCCCAGAAGTTTCCCAAAAGAGCCTACTCCTTTTTAAAAGGCCGGTAACGCATCTGCCATTCTCCTGGTGTTGCAGTTGCTCGTTTGCCCCCTCTCCTATAAAGAGTAAATTTGTAACTGATGCAGCTCTACAATTCTAGCTCTACATTCTTACATTAAGGTTAATACTTTCTTCTCATACCATAGATTTTTTTATTTGTCTTCACTTAACGTTTTATATAGCCAACAAACAAAAGTAAGTGAATTCTGTAATCCATAAACACTTCATTCGTTAAAAATCGAAATGAAGAATCGTTGCTACCTCTGAGAACAAAGAAAACGAGACTTTCGTTACTAGTGAAAACTTTCTCCGATTCTTCACCATTACTATACAAAATACAACAGATTTCAGTTATTTTTTCGAGAGGGTATTCTTTGAAAACGTGGTTCTTTCCTGGAATCGCCAACCTACTCGTGCTGCAGCCATAATACGAATTCAGCGTGACTACTCTGTGTCAAATTATTCTTATCGAGAATAAAGAAGTATGTTCCGATGCATTTCCGAATCTTATATCTATGTGTAGAAAAAAAAAACAAATATTATTTTGCAGGTTCGTGGAATCCAAAGAAAGTAAATGCAGATCAGCTATTCAGACTATTCTATCTCATTCACTTGGCTGCGATGTTAGAGCCCGAGTCCCAAGTTAGAGGCACGGTCGTCTTAATGGACTTCTACAATATGGGATGGTCACAGGTCAGTTTTTGATATTATTAGTATAGGTATTTATATACAATTTAAATTTAACTCAAATTACAAGAATAAAATTTTGTGAGTTTTTTTTTTAATTTAGACGACATTGAAATTGTGATATTTGAATTACTCCACTCAAAAGGGTAAAAAAATTAACTTTTAATAACAGTAAAAGCCGCCTTTAAAGAACTAAAAAAATTTATTTCACATTTTGTAATCGGTGCTTGTGCACTTTATTTTAGCACCGATTCAGAACGAGAAGTTTTTATTCTTTTTAGTTCTTTGAAGTCGGCTTCAACTATTATTAAAAGTTACCATTTTGATATTTGAATTAATACCAATATTTAACGAGAATACTTTATACACTATAGAAATAAGTACTAAAATTAAAATTAATAAGTTATACGTGCAAATCTTTCATTTTCAAATGTTTAATGTGGTGTGTTCGAAATACTGTGTTCTTTTTGGTATAAATATAGTCGTGCTTTGGACTCTTCTTATATTAAAAATAAAACTTAAAAAATGACGTCGAAGAACTATGAAGAATAAAATACATAAGTCGATGCTAATACATCGAGTATCGACGGATTAAAACCCCAATTTCAGAAGCTATTGTAAGAATTGTTTCATTCGCTTTGGTTCTCTTTGACGTAGGTTTTAAATTTTTATACAAGTATTATTAACTCTTTGGGGTGAAATAAGAATATCACAATATTATCGGATAAGAACTAAAATGTCACTAAAACAGTTTTCATATTCTATTTTCGATTTTGTTGCGCAAAAGTTGTGCGATGTTGTGTATTATATGTCTGCGCATGTTAACTACTTAGTGAAAATGATGAAACAACTAATCCGATGGTGATGTAAACCTAGACAATGGCTAACCCAATCACGAAAACTGTCCTCAAAACTTCACAATGTGACGCATCTACATATTGTGAAGAAGTTTTAAAACAAATTCTCGTAACCAATCATTAGGCCTGGTTTACATTTTGAGAAGTGACAAGTGCGAGTAGCAAGTTCAACTGACAAATGACAAGGGCTTAGTAAGTGTGTACAGGCAGTAAAAAGTGATAAGTGTGAATAAAATACGCACTTGTCACTTCTCGCTTGCCACTCTTACTCGTTACTTCTTAAAATGTAAACCGGGCCTAACGGATAATTTCATACTGGCAAAAGTATAATAGTACGAGCCCATTACCAAAGAAAAAAATATCTAAATACATTTTAGGTAAATGATTTGGGACGTCTGCATCAATTAAAGTAAATAGGTAATAGGTTAACGTACCTGACCTTTGCTAGTATTGTTTTTTACAGGTAATTACTGTAGTACTTGAGTATTATAGTAAAGTTTGGAATACACGTGCTAGGTCTAAACCCAACTAAAGTTCCAAACATCTCGTAATATAGTTGTGTATTAAAAAATGTTTTATATCTACAAAATGATTTCTTTAACAATGAGTTTGTTGTTTATTTTTATTAGTTTATATTCTAGAATGACTAAATTTATGTTTTTGTTGTGTTTTTGTGTCGCAAAATTTATGGATATTTCATAGTAGCAGGCCCGTATCCCTGTTTTTGACTTCCTATATTGCGTAATTTTACTTTAAAGTTTAAAAGTCCGAGGAGCACTTTATTAACGCTAGGCCCATTGATAGTTGCCTACTTTTTCTTTAGGTTAAACGGGTCCTGCTTAGCTGTTAATTTGTATGAGGTTGTAAAATGTAATATTTTCTTTATTAACTGGCTTTACGGCTCTGGTTTTTAGACCTTCTGAGCCTATCCTTTCTTTGGGAATCTTCATTTTCTTCTGTTCTTTTTCTTCACAATATGCTGATGCGTCACATTGCAAAGCCCTTGGCAGATTTTGACGACAGCCAACCTAGCGGACAGTTGATGACGACAGCCACTCAAGTTCATAAGGCGCCCTAGCGATCAAAATAACTTGAGGTTTATATCGACATCAAAGCACTTGTTTCGTCGTTTTCTCTAATAGTTCACACGCGCGGACACTTAATTCACAAAATCGCATCACTTTTACGAATCAAAATCCACTTCAAACCATTATTCAAGCGACAAAACAGGAGCAACAATCCGTCTACGGCCAAGTTCCCGTCAAAACTCCTAAAATGTAACTTTTATCTGCCCCGGAACAGAGTAACTATCATTCATTCATTAGTTACAGACTATCAACACTCCTTTTCAAGACGGGTTGTCAACCGACGTTTTTTTATTATATTGAGCTATTTTTATGAAGATTCTTCTATTTCCTGTTTTAGTGTCTCTCTATGACCTTTTACGATACCAATGGGATGATATGGGGTAGTGGATTCTCTTACACGTCAAGGATAAATTTAGCCTAAATACATATAAAATACTTTTAAGTAATAAAAAGCTAATTTCGTAAATAGGGAATTTCGATATTACAGGCATTTAGAGGTAAATAGAAACATAACCATCAAAGATAAAGTGTTGTATGTCTATGTAAACAGAACGACGTCTTATTTGTATTAGCTTAGTACATATATGTATATATGTATGTATTAGCTTAGTTTAAGTCACCGTGTGTTATAACTAATTTCATCTTTAAATCAATTTACCGCGCCACGTAACGGAAGAGTGAGAATAAAATCGGATGGCTTATCTAGCAGATAATAGTTAATAAATAGCTTTTCTTTGGACAAATAAAAAAGATAATGGAAAACTTGGTCAAAAACCTTGAGTTTATTTATTTTAAAATTCGTTTTAGGCAAGTATTTCAATGTATAATGTTTGTCTTCTTAATAAAGATTAGTTTGACTTTTTTGGTAAATTACTGCTTGACAAGGAAGTGTAATAGAATCGATTAAATTATCACAGTAATCAATTTTACGAATTGCCTAATTTTTTAACCGAAATTGGCAACTATACAGCAAATGTTCATTAATATCCGTCGTTCGAGTTCATTAATATATGTCGGTTTTTTACTGAAATTCTTTTTGGTATAAAATCAAAAGTAATATTTAAAGACTAATAAAAATAGGTTGCATTGCATTGGGACTGCAAACTTTATGAATAAGCTTTTACAGGATTACTATCAGAATGGAATTTCACGTAGTAGACAGATTAAAAGTTATTTGTAGGAAATAGGAATAATTCCAGATGCTCTTAGACTTGCTCTTGCTTTTGGGTTGGGTATTTTATAGTATTTTTTAAATTTTTTCTTATAAATTATTTCGTACTCTATGACTTGAAAGCACTCCCATACTTCTACTTTGCTGTCACAATGTTAGTTTTTTTGTTTATTAATAACTTTTTTGTTTTTTAAGCATCAACGAATAACCAGTAGAAATTAATCTTTTTTTATCGAATTAGTATGACAAACAAGCACAAGGCGCACCAGGTGATAATTTGATGCTGAGGCCCATAGACATCTACATCTACATCTATCCTCGATTAAGAATCAAAATGTAAATACGTTGCCACCCCTGAGGTCAAAGGAAGGAGGAAAAAGGGTCTCCGTTTCTTTATACTCACCATACGGAACACAGCAGCATTGTGATGCTGTATTACGCTGGTATTCTGTGAGAGCGAGGTCCTAACCCGGTCGAGCCGATCCATTCGTGCTACAATCATGATATAATTGCAGCATGGCTGCATGGCATACCACTTGCAGTTTTTTCATTTCATTGGAAAAAACCTGCTTTTGTTTTAATGAAATATAAAATATTTTCCATTGTTCGACTACATTCTTCACTAGTCCACTGCTGAACAAAGGCATCCCCTAAAGAATGCTACAAAACGGGGTCCTGAGTCACCTACGTCTATCGACTACCCGCATATCTTCCCAGGTCGTCACTTCATCCAGTACGAGTGCCTACACTTTGCTTACCGGTACGGAGTTGACACTTGAGCAATTCTCCTCATAAGTTGTCGGTTTTTCGAGCAGTAACACTACGGCTTAGTACTCCGTTGGGTTGTCAATTATTCTGGTTAATATTCATACATTTTCGAGAAGTGTAATCAAGCCTTGAAATGCTCGTACTTAATCAACGTCATTTTACAATCTATTCTGCTGGACAATTTTGCTTCTACTAACAGGCAACTAACAACTATTGATGAAGACGTTATTTTACGAATTCGTTAAATTAAATGAAAGTACATTACTGCTTCAGGCTTCCGCTAAGTCCCAGTTATCTTTGATGTTTCGAGCTGACCGGGAATAGGTTAAGTTATTAATCATTTTAATCGTCACAACATTCCCAATATTCTAGGCAAAATGTTTTGCTGATAAAGCATGTCACAGATGTCATAGAAATAGTAATAATTACGGTTTCTGTGGTTGATGTACTTTGTGGAAACGATCTTCGCTACCCTTGTGTTATTTAAATGCCAATTTCAATCAATACAGTACTCATATAAAAAACATGGCAATTGTATTATCATAATTATACGTTTATTCCGGTACATTCCGGGTTTTATAGGTGTTATTTTAGTTACGTTGGTAGTACAACTTTATAGCAATGTCTGCATTTTTAGTTAATATATATATATATATATATATATATATATATATATATATATATATATATATATATATATATATATATTACTCTGTGATCCTACTGTATTATTTTCTTTTGATATTATTACGATATACTGTGATATTACCATATACTCATGCGATTTGCTTGCACTGTAAGTGAGGGAATTAAAACGTATTATGAATATTTATCTCGATTGGCAACGCTCCCAAATGTTTTTCGTAATGAATTAGCCTTGACATATTATTATAAACTACGTTGCATTGTACGTATACGGGAATGTTTTTAATAAAATAAAATCTATTAAAAATAACATACGGTTCTTTTACCTTCTCGTTTTTGATACATATTGCAAATTTTATGTTGTGTAAAAAACTTCAATGCCGACTATTGCAACAGGACGTTGCTTCACGCCAAGATTACTGCAGTAAATTAATGAGATAAATAAATATGTATTTAATTTTTATTGATGCAGTGTTT